GGGTTGTTAGAAAAAAACCGTAATATGAAGAACATCTCTACATTTTCTGTTGAATTGTCCACTGCATTATATAATGCCTGTTTCATAAGCACCCACACAATAATTTAGTGCCATGCAAAAAGTCTCTACTCTTACAAGCTGGTTTGTTTCCTTTCAACAATGAGAATTATATAACCCTTTGTTTCCCACGTTTTTGTCTTGCCTTCCAGGAAGCGCAAAGATAAATTTCATGCTTAATTAAAATAATAATGTTTGCCAAAATTTCTGGTATATTTATTTCATCCTATTTTAATAGGTTTATTGAACATGTCTTACAGTAAGCTCTTTCAAATTTTTTCTTAAAGTAGGAAAAATATAAATTATGAATAGAATAAGGGCTTCCCCTTGCTTCCCACATAAAACCTATCTTCTATCTCAGTCAATGGCTAGAAACCAGAGAGTCAGCCCAGAGATCTGCCTTTCCTTTTGTCAATAACCTAGTTCTGTCTGTTCAACCACCTTAATGAGTATTTTGTGTACTTTTCCTGTTCCCTACAGCCCTATTACTCTGTCTTGGTCTAGCTGGTTTTATCATAAAAGCTTCCCTATTAATCTCCCTGCCTTCAATCTCAACCCTCTAACAAACTGCCCTCATTCATTCATTTCCTCCATACCATCAGAAGGATACTATCAGAAGAATTTCTAACACAAAACAATATGTCTTTTGTTTGGCTCAAAATTCCTCAATGACTCCCTATTACCTAAAGATAGAATAATACCTGAAGCCATTCATATAACATACAGGACCGTGTAAAATCTGGTTGGTCACTCCATATTTACTTGGCCTTATCACAGTCACTCTCTCAGTGACCCTCCAAAAACACCTACTCCTCCCTCAGGGTTGCCCACCTCAGTAAATGGCACCACTATTTACCCAGCTGTTCATACCCAAAACCTTGGAGTTATCCATGACTCTTCTCTCTGTCACAACCCACATCCAACCATGAGCAAATCATATCAGCTCCACCTTCACAATATATCCAAATGCAACTACCTTTTACCACCTCAAATGCTGTCACCTAGTATAAATCACCATTGTCTGCCACCTGGACCACTGCAACAGCCTCTTAACCAGTTTCTCTGATTCCACCTTCACACCCCCTAAAATCTATTCTCTATACAGGAGCCATCAGTTATCCTTTTAAAATACAAATGAGATCATGTCACTGCCAGACACAAAACCTCCCACTAGCCCCCCATAACACTTAGAATAGAGTCCACAATTCCTGTCATTGTCTAGAAGGTCACTTTTCTCCTTGCTAGGAATGCCCTCCCGCAAGTATTCATATAGCTCAGGTCCTCATTTCATTACAATTCTGATCCAATATTCTTTCCTTAGAAGGTCCTCCTAAACCCCTATCCCAGTAGTTCTTGACTGGGGGCATTTTGACCCCTCAAGGGACATTCAACAATGTCTGCAGATATTTTTGGTTGTTACATGGGGGAAGAGGGCATTCTACTGGCCCCTCGTAGATAGCAGCTAGGAATGCTGATAAACACTCTACAATGTACATGATAAGCCCCTACAACAAATAATTATCCAGCCCAAGATGTCAACAGTGTCAAAATTGAGAAGCTCGCCCTCTCAAAACAGCACCTCCATTGTTCTCCTCTTATTACCCTGCTACATTTTTTTTTTCATAACTATCACTTTATTTTTTTTCTTCATGATAACTATCACTATCACCTTCTCTCAATAGAATGCAAGCTCCATGAGGGCACACTTTTGACTGATTTGTCCATGGCTGTATCCCTATAGCTTAGAAGAATGCCTGGTATATCACCAGTACTCAGTAATTATTTATTAAAAATATAAATGGATAAATGATACTTCAACAAGCTGAACTATTTGCAGCCCTCAAAACACCCCAGATTCTCAAAGGCTTCTATTTGCAGCCCTCGAAACACCCCAGATTCTCAAAGGCTTCTGTGCCACCAGCTATAGAGATTTGTGAAACATCATGAAGTTTGAAGTTACTGTGCTTTGTTTGCTATAGAGTACTGGTGCATACTAATGCTTATTCACACTTCTTACTTGGTGGAAAGTAGGCTAACATGCTCCTTGAGAGCAGAGTCCATGTCTCACACTTCTCTGTATATCTCACATCTCATTGGCAGATCACTACTCTGACCAGTGAAAGAGTCCTATGTTTCAGATTTAGGACTTAAGCCAAGAGAAGCTAATCCAGGCCTGTAATGTCTTAGGCATCCATAATCGGAGTGCCATACATCTTTACTCAAAATAAAACGATAATATATCATCATACTCAAAGCAATAAAACTGGTATGAATAGCCTTCAAAATCAATAGCCACATACCTGCTTGCTTGGCTTCAATACAGGCAATATTTATTTCTTCTTTCAAATCCCGGTTTTCATTGGCTATAGCTTCCCCTACTTTAACAAATCTTCCAACTGCCAAGTTGACAGCTTGTCCTACACGCTGAATTGCTTGCAGAGTTTTATCAGACTTTTTGGTATTATCTTTATGATTAATAAGTGTGGTGATCTAAAAATAAAAGATGAAAGTAATTTGCTTAAATTTTAATTCAATACCTTTTTATTTTAAGCCTTATCACAAAAAATAAGAAAATTAAGCTTAGCATATAGGTCTAGCCCAATAGACTAAATCAATAGCTTCAGATGTTTCAACACAGAGACAACCAGTAAAGTATCCTGTATCATTCTTCATGACAATGTTTCCAATAATTACAACTCCAAGTTCACCTGAGGGCAGTTATCTGGGGCATACAGTTCCAGAGGCCCTCCAGATCTTTCAACAAATATGAAAGACAGCAGAAACTTAGGAAAGGATAGATCATTACATCCACAGAGCCCACAGAAAACCAAAGTACTTCAGGTCCAGCTTCCTCTACTGACTTGAGCTGCTTTGAGAGTAGAGACAGCATCTTCTACCCCAGGCGTCCTCAAACTATGGCTTGCGGGCCACATACGGGTGGGTGTTTTTGCCCATTTGTTTTTTTACTTCAAAATAAGATATGTGCAGTGTGCATGGGAATTTGTTCATAGTATTTTTTAAACTATAGTCTGGCCTCCAATAGTCTGAGGGACAGTGAACTGGCCCTGTTTAAAAAGTTTGAGGACCCCTGTTCTACCCCTTGCATTCCACTCCATGGCCTACCATAGTACACGGGTTGTACAAAATAGTACTTGTGACATACATGTGTACTGCATTAACTAGATGCTTTAGAACAATCATTGTGATCTACATTTTATACTTTGCTAAATTTTGTTGTAGCAGACTCAATGTAAACAAAATTTCAAAAGTTTTAACACTTGGTTCCAGGCCCTGAAATAAAATACAAAAGGTAACAAGTTCAGCTCCTTGAAACAAACATAAATCTTCAAGATATCTTAGAAAACCTAGTACATAAACTATGCTGACATATAAAAATATTTATTAAAGAACATGGCCTAAAAGACATAGATCCCAAGCAGTACATGTATGCTAAGTATAACTTTGAAATAATGTATATAGCTTATTTATAAAGACCAAACATAGTAGGGAATTTAAGAGAAGAGCAAGAGAATCACTCTGTTGCCCAGGCTAGAGGGCCGTGGCGTCAGCCAAGTAGCTCACAGCAACCTCAAACTCCTAGGCTCAAGCAATCCTCCTGCCTCAGCCTCCCAGATAGCTGGGACTACAGCCATGCGCCATCATGCCTGGCTAATTTTTTCTATATATATATTTAGTTATACAGATAATTTCTTTCTATTTTTTAGTAGAGACAGGGTCTCACTCTTGCTCAGGCTGGTCTCAAACTCCTGAGCTCTAACAATCCATCTGCCTCGGCCTCCCAGAGTACTAGGATTACTGGCGTGAGCCACCGCACCCAGCCAAGAATCACTTTTACTCTTCACGCAACTACTGTGTGCCAAGCACTTTATATGTTTAAGCATCAATAGTTTAGAATTAATAGAAAGGCCTAGGTTTGAGTCCTGGCTCAGCCATTACTAGCTAAGTGGTCTAAGAAAATGTATTTAATCTCTCTAAACTTATTCATCTATGATATTTTTTTCATCACATTTTTAATATCTATTAGATGTCAGGTCCTGAAGATGAATCAATGAACAAGACTAACATGATCCTGCCCCCATTAAGTTTACGGTGTGGTAAAACAACAATAATTCAGTCACATAAAATATATTTGTTGTACACTATCATATGCCAAATAAAATTCTAGGCAAGAACAAGAAAGAAAAAGCCCATGCTCTCATGGAGCTAACATTCTAGTGAAAGAGGGGGTAAAACACACAATAATCACATAAATAGGTAAATAAAACAAAATCTTTAATGTGAATGCTATGTAAAATGTTAAAATAGGATAATGTGACATAAAGTTTCAGGTAGCAATTTTTGTAGCTACCTGAAATTGGTCGATCTTCCATCTATGAGAAGTGATATTTAAGCTGAGATCTAAATGATAGCAAGTAGCCAGGCTGGCAACCATCAGGGATAAAGACCATTCTCAAAAGAAGAAACAGTTGGTTTTAAAAAAAAACAAAAAACAGAAAGCTCTTAGTTATGAATAAGCCTGTCCTATTCAAGGAATGAGGTAAGGCCAGAAGTAGTTAAAGCATAGTGGGCAAGAGGGCAAATGTCAAACCAATATCCAGCAGATGGGATGGGCAGGGGCCAGCCAAGGCTGTGCACTGGAGTAAAGAATTTTATTCTACATATTATAGAAAGCCACTGAAGGGTTTTTAAGCAGGAAAGTGGTACAATCTCTGTAGTGATTTTCAAATGTGTCCACAAATTGTTTCATACTTCTCCCTTCAAGAGGGGGAGCCTCATTTCTCTGCCCTTGTGAGCTGGACTTGGTAACTCACTTCTAATGAAAAGAAAAATAGTAGAAGTAATGGAGTATTGAGGATAGATCATAGAACACATTGTGACTTCCAGCTCGTTCACTCTTTCTCTCTCTCTGGGACCAATCACAGGGGGAGAAAGCCAGATCCCTTACCATGGAGGGCACTCAAGCAACCCTATGGAAAGCTCCACAATGTAAGAAATTGAGGCCTCCTGCCAACAGGTAGAGATGATTTGAGGCCTCCTCCCAACAGCCTGGAGAGTGAACCTGCGAGTGGATTCTAGCCCCAGTCAAGCCTTTGGATTACTGCAGGACCAGACAAAAATCTTTATTACAATTTCATGAGAGCTCTCACTCCAGAACCATGAGGTAAGTCACTCCAGAATTCATGACCCATAGAAACCGCTAGACAAATGTTTGTTGTTTTAAGGCACTAAATTTGGGATAATTTGCTCTGCATAAACTATAGTTAACTAATATAGATTGTGGTACCTGGATCTAGGGTGAGGCTATAACAAAACCTAAAATGTGGGAATAGCATTGAAATCAAGCAGTGGAAGTTGAATGAACTTTGAGGAGTAAAAGCTAGAAGTAGCGAAGAAACTTTGTAGAAGCATCACAACCTTTGAGGAAGTAGTCTTAGTTGGTTTGGGCGGCTAAAACAAAATACCTTAGACTAGGTAATTTACAAACAACAGAACTTTATTGCTTAAAGATCTGGATGCTGGGAAGTCTAAGACCAAGGCACTGCTGAGATTTGGTATCTGCTGAGGCCCCATTCCTCATGGATGACCTTCTATGTGCTCATGTGGCTCCCACAGACCCTTTTATAAGGGCATTGTGATCCCATTCATAAGGGCTCCCTCATGACCTAATCACCTCCCAAAGGCCTCACCTCTTAATACCATCACTGTGAGGGTTAACCTCCAACATATGAATTTGAGGAAGACAAGAACATTCAGGCCACAGTAGAAGCAATGGAAGAAAACTTAAAGCAAAGGGAGAAACATCTTATTGGAAACTGGAGAAAAGGGGATCCTTGTTATGTAGTGACAGAAAGTCACCCTCACTAATATGGAAAGGAGAAAATACACCTAAGGAACTGGGTGATCTAACTAAGGAGATTTCAACGCAGATTAGAGAGTGGTACCTGGTTTCTTCTTGCTGCTTATGGCAAAATGTAAGAGAAGAGAGAGAAGTTAAAGGAGACACTGTTAAACAAAAACAAGCCAGAACTTGATGGCTTTGAAAATTCCTTCTCCAAATAAAACACCATACTAAAATTAAAAATAGCTTCCAGGCAAAAATAAAATCCAGGGCACTGTCAAAAAGGTACAGTCTAAAGATGAAGCTAAGGGTATAACCTTAAAATCTTATATTAAGATCTCTGAAAGATGCAAAGTGGTGCTTCAGTCAATCATTCAGTTCAACAACAGACCTCTTAAGAAGTTTAAAGGGGTTGTCTCTCAGCAGGCCCAGCAGAAGCCCAAGTTAGAGAAACACACATCTTGAAGAAACTTGTGGGTATGGCTTTTGTCTAATGAAGTGAGTGCAATATAACTCACAGGAAACCAAGAAAATTTTAAGATAATTATGTTAACAGAAACACCACTAGCTTGGACTGAAAGAGACAGATCAATACAAAATGAATGGAAACGTTTTTATCTCCAAACTCCCATAGGCAGAGAGCAGGCTGAGAAATCTATGCAGCTGCAAACATGAGCTACCTTTCCTGAAAAAGGATAACTCAGAGGGCAGTGCCAAGAGCCATGAAGAATTTTTCCCAGGCCTTCATCAAGGAACTATCAAACTCTACCCAGGAGGACTTCGGAATGCTATCAACCACTGGCTCCTATTTTTCCCACTTTTGAATAGAAGTATATAGCAGTAATTCTACCCTTCCTATTTTCCTGTTTTTTGAATAGAAGGATCTACAGTGGTTATCCTACAGCTGAAAGGAGTTAAAGTTCAAGAACTACACACACACGAAGCCTCATCTGAACCAGACTCTAGCTGATTTTGTGGGAGGGTTGAAGTGGAAAGAGGTTGTCTTCAGGTGGAAAGAAGGTAAACAATTAGTGGCCAGAGGTTGGAGTATGGTAGTTTTAAAATATGTCCACAAATTCTTTGCTATTCCTGCCTTTAAAAGGTGGAGTCTCGTTCCTCTCTCCTTGAGTGCAAGCTGAATTTAGTCACTTACTTCTAACAAATATAATAAAGTAGAAGTGACGGTATGCTACTTTTGAAGGCAAGTCATAAAGTCCCTGTAGTTTCTACCTTTCTTCTAAGATTATTCACTCTAGGGGAAGCTAGTTCCCATGTCATAAAGACATCTGACCAGCCCAATGGAAAGGCGCACATGATAAAAAACGGAAGCTTCTGATCAACAGCTAGGAAGACTCTAAGACCAGCTGCCCGACAGACAAGACAGATCCAGAAGACCCAAGTACGCTACTCCCAAATCCCTAACTCACAGAAACTGAGATAAATGTTTTTTTGTTTTGTTTTGTTTTGTTTTGAGACACAGTCTCGCTTTGTTGCCCAGGCTAGAGTGAGTGCCATGGCGTCAGCCTAGCTCACAGCAACCTCAAACTCCTGGGCTCAAGCAATCTTGCTGCCTCAGCCTCCCGAGTAGCTGGGACTACAGGCATGCGCCACCATGCCTGTCTAATTTTTTCTCTACATATTAGTTGGCCAATTAATTTCTTTCTATTTCTAGTAGAGACGGGGTCTTACTCTTGCTCAGGCTGGTTTCAAACTCCTAACCTCGAGCAATCCACCTGCCTTGGCCTCCCAGAGTGCTAGGATTACAGGTGTGAGCCACCATGCCCGGCCTTGGTTGTTGTTTTAAACCATTATGTTTTGGGGTGATTTGTTATGCAGCAGTAAATAACTAATGCAATCTCAAATGCATGTTTTTTAAAAAAACCTTCTAGCTACTAGGGGGGAGAGTAGATTCCTAGAGTGATAAAAGCAGAAATAGGGAGACCAGTTAGAAAGCTGCTGCAATAGTCCAGGCAGAAGATGATGTTGGCTTGAAATAAGGTGGCAATAGTAAAAATGGAAGAAAATGTGGACAAATTCAGGAATGTCTTGAATATGATTTGCTTGATGGATTACATTGATGGTATCAAAAATGACCCCTAAATATGTGTGGTATGAGAAAGAGTGGACAAGTATAACACTAACATCTCTATGTGGCAGGAATATAAAGTGTTTTACATAAATGACCTAATTTAATCCTCACAATAATCTTAGGACTTAGGCACTACTTAATTCCCTTTTTGCAGATAAGGAAACTGATATTAAAAGATGCTTATTGAAGGTCACATAGTTAATAAGTGGTGTGGTCAGGATTCAGAATCAGACAATTTTGACTCCAGAGACCATACTCTTAAACACTTCCCTATAATGTCTCACAACAATCCAATGAAATAGTACTATTATCATCCCTATTTTACAAATGAGGAAATTGGACATCGAAAAGAGTGGGAGGGTTAGAATTTAAATCAGGTTATTCTGACGGCAGAGCCTAGCCTCTTAACCACTTAGCCAGACAGCCTTCTCTGCCTTATGATGTTAATAAGATTTAATGAAATGATGAAAGTATTGTTTTTAACACAGTACTCAGCTTATGGTTCATAAGTTTATTATAATTAGCTCTTCTTTAATCCTAAGGTATTATTAAAGATAAGAAATTTGAGGCTGAGTGAAATTATGTACTTGGCTCACACAGCTAATAAGTGGCCTAGTTTAGAATTTGAACCCAGGTTTATCTGACACCAAAGCCCACCCAGCACTCTTTCCTTTACAGAATGTTTTCAATCTTTAATCTTTCTTAGAAGACAGCAGAACCCTTTACTCAATTTAAAATGGGCTTCCTAAAAGCCCATATGTAGTTATATCAAAGAGTCATTACAGAGGAATTTTGAGGATAACTGTGGGCCATGGTACTGGGAAGCAGGGTCACGAATATGAATCCTATTAGCACCAGCTTTGTCCTTCTCTACACCTAATAGACCTAAAGGAATTCTTAGTATCACATGGAAAACAGAGAGCTTGACCACCATTGACTATTCTAAGCTGCCATCTTGGAAGGGATTCTAGAGTGAAAAGCAGGTTAAGTTCTTAGTATAGGTTGAATGTTTGTGTCTCTCAAAAATTCATGTTTTGAAATCCTAATCCCCAATATTATGTATTAGGAGGTGGGGCCTTTGGGAGGTGATTAGGTCATGAGGGTAGAGCCTTCATGAATGGGATCAGTGCCCCTTAAAAGAGGCCTCAGAGAGCTCTCTCACCCTTTTCCACCTTGTGAGGACAGTGAGAAGACAGCTACCTATGCAACAGGAAAGTGAACCCTCATCAGACACAGAATCTTCTGGCACCTTGATCTTAGACTACCCAGCTCCAGAATTGTGAGGAATAAACTTCTATTGTTTAAGCCACCTAGTCTAGGGTATAGCAGCCTGAATAGACTAAGACAATTATGTTTATTAAATGTTTTATTTATATAAAGTCTTAAATTTTCAATTTTAAAGAAAAGATCCTGCAATTAGGCTAAAATAACAACTATTGTTCAGTTCTAAAACACACATTTAGCTTTCACTACAAGCATCCTCCCCAGTGCATAATTAGGTGTGGCTGCCTTCCTCTTACTGGAAAGCTGTCTGGAAAATGTTCAATTCCAATACAGGTATGCCTTTAAAATATCATTTGGAGAAGCTAATTCATAAAATTCCTTATTAAAAGGCCTACTTATGTCCTAAAACTATTTTCAAATGTTTTAAAAGGGAGGTCCAAATGTTATACATGTTGATTGTTTAAAAAAAAGAAAAAAAAAGGGCCGGGCTCCCGCCTCTAATCCTAGCACTCTGGGAAGCTGTGGTGGGCGGATAGTTTGAGCTCAGGAGTTTGAGACCCGCCTGAGCAAGAGTAAGACCCCATCTCTACTATAAATAGAAAGAAATTAATTGGCCAACTAAAAATATATAGAAAAATTTAGCCAGGCATGGTGGCGCATGCCTATAGTCCCAGCTACTCAGGAGGCTGGGGCAGGAGGATCGCTTGAGCCCAGGAGTTTAAGGTTGCTGTGAGCTAGCCTGATGCCATAGCACTCTAGCCCAGGCAACAGAGGGGGACTCTGTCTCAAAAAAAGAAAGAAAGAAAAAAAAAAAAAGAAAAAGAAATGGGAATCATAGAAAAGCCTCAAGAAATCAAAATAACCTATAATCCCTACTACCTTGTAAGCATTTTGGCATAATTCTTTCTAGTCTTGTTTTAAACATATATATACCTAGACACACAGTTTTAAAAATTGAAATTAAACTTCAATTTCCTTACTGTCCAAAAAACTAAGACAAGCTAACATTTATTAAGCAAAACAGTACCAGGCACTAGCCTATGTGTTTTACATGTATTAATTCATTTAATGCTTACATCTCTAGTATCTAAGAGGTATATACTATTATTATCATTTTACAGATAAAGGACCAAGTCACAAAACCAGAAAGTTGCCTGCACTCTTAATCACTATACTGCCTCTCTTACCTCCCAGGATTATGTTAAGGATCAAGGGAAAAATAGCTAGTAAGAGTTCTTTGTAAATTATAATGTTTCAAATAAAATTTTAGCTATTATTCTGCAAAAATAGGCATATTAAATTGGGTGTCCACAACTTGAAGTTGCCCTGACACCAGAGTCTAGAGAATGCCTGAATGAACCAGAAAAGAGGGCAGAGAAGCCATCCCATGGGGAAGAAAGAGGATCTGGTATATTGAAGAACTCTGCCTGGAATAAAACAATAAGAACTAGGGCTCACTTGATACCTCCAAACAAAGGGTGTCAAGAAGTACAAATCACCAATAAAGTATATCCTAGCAGTTAAAAGCATGAACTCTGATACCATTCTGCCTGGGTTTGAATGCTGGCTCTCCCATGTGACCATGGGGTAAGTTATGTAACCTTTCTGTGACTCCTGCTCTCACCCATGAAAACAGGGATAATAACAGGACCCATCTCATGAGGTTATTGTGGGGAACAAATAAATTAGTAAATGTAAAGTACTTAGAATAGTGACTGGTATATAGCAAGCACTGCATAATTCTTCAATATTATTATACTGGTTAGATTTCTAGAATCTCTGTTCTTTCCTCATGATTGTGATATTGAGAGGCAAGAAAGCAAGTGAAGGAGTCTAGGAGAAAAAAAAAATGTAGTATCAACCCAGAAAAATAGCAAAGCCTAATTCCCTGGGACTTGAATAATCTAGGAGCCAGCCTAGGACAGAGAAGTTCATCTCTGGGCTTAACTCATCAGTTATATATAATTCTTCCCAGAATTGTAACAATTTAAAAATCATCTAATCAGCTATAGAAAATAATATAAAAGTAAACACAGCAATCATGGGAGTATGTTTTCAAGAAGGCAGAAAGAAAACACTTGCACTTACTTTACAAACCATTTTGTTTGGATTTTGTTTTATCATTGCAGTTAAAAACAAATACTTAGGCCGGGCATGGTGGCTCACACCTGTAATCCTAGCACTCGGGAGGCCGAGGCAGGTCAATCTCTCAAGGTCAGGAGTTAGAAAACAGCCTGAGCAAGAGCAAGACCCCATCTCTACTAAAAATAGAAATTAATTGGCCAGCTAAAAATATATAGAAAAAATTAGCCGGGCATGGTGGCACATGCCTGTAGTCTCAGTTACTCAGGAGTGCTGAGGCAGAAGGATTGCTTGAGCCCAGGAGTCTGAGGTTGCTGTGAGCTAGCCTGATGCCATGGCACTCTAGCCCGGTGACAGAGTGAGACTCTGTCTCAAAAACAAAAACAAACAAACAAAAGAACCACATACATATTCACATATACAAATCTGCAAAGAGCACACAGAGGGTCCCATATCTATTCTCTTCATCCCCAACTTACTGAAACAAGAAGTCTGAAAAGCTTCCAGGATGATGTAGAGAAAAATGGGAAAATGAGGTGACCTACCTTAGACATGTAAAAGGTCTGTACAGTGGTAAATGAAGGAAATCTATTAAAGACAGGAAAAGACTAGTGGGCAGTAGAATAACATTCCACACTAGGGTGGAGTTCTGTGGCAGATAGCCTTCTTCCCTTCCCTGGATAAAAGCATTTTTAAGACAGTGAGTGGGAGTTTTGACAGGAAGAATAAAGTGATTACTAAAGGAGGTGGGGAGTTGCTCTGTATAAAATGTACTTGGTTCTTAGCCCAGAGCTTTCCAAACAATTTTCTGAATTATAAAATATACACCATATAAGTATATATGACATATATTAATACATGTAGTCACCACCAAGCTTAAGAGAACAATGCCAGTATCTCTGACAGCCTGTGTACCCCGAAGACTCCTCCCCGTCCATATCACCTCTCTTCCTCTTTTCAGAAAAAAACCAATGTCCTAATTTTGGGCTCATGACTCCCTTACTATAGCTGCTGCACATACAATGTAGCCCTAAATGATATTTGGTTTAGTACTGCCTGGTTTTGAACCTTTATGTTTTCTCACCCAACATTATGCTTTTGGAATTCATTCACATTGATAATTATAGCCATGGTTCATTCATTCCACTGATATTATAGTATCTCATTATAAGAACATAGCACAATTTATTTAAATATCCTATTGTTAAAAGCCATTTGAGGAAAAGGGTGAAACATTTGGGTAGTTTTTAGTTTGGGACCATCAGAAGAAAAAATGCTATCCACATTCCAATCCATTTCTATAACACACATGTAGCAGACGGTTTTCTAGGGGTATAGACTTAGAAGTGGAATTGCTGGGCAATAGGTAACACCTACCTTCAATTTTAATAGATTATACCAAACTGTTTCCCAAAATGGTTGTACCACTGATACTCCTACCAGCTCCACACTCATCAACACTTATTCTCACTGTGGTTTTAGCCTATATTTCGTTGATTTCTAATGAAGTTGAACATATTTTCACATATTTTTTAGTCATTTGTTTCCTCTTCTGTGAGATGACTATCTTCTTTTTTATCAATTTTTAATGGCTAATTTTTTAATTTTTCATTCATTGGAGTCCTTTATTTATATTCTAAAGGAATCATTTGTTGGTTATTTGTGCTGCAATCATATTCTCCCACTTTATGACTTATCTTTTCATTTTTATGTCTTTTGATGAACAGAGGTTCTTCATTTTAATGAAGCCAAATTTATCAATCTTTTCTAAGAGTTTACACTTTTGGTGTATTAAGAAATCCTTTCCACCACGAAATGGTGAAGACATTGCCCTATTGTTTTCCCCTAAAAGTGTCATAAGTTTTTACTTTCATATTGATGTCCTTCATCTATCTGTAATTGATAATTTTTAACATGAGACAGAGATCCAATTTCATGTCTATTTAAATAATCAATTGTCCAAGCCTCATATTTTAAGAAGTTTTTCCTTCCCCACTGACCAGCAATGTCAACTGTCATTTATTGAGTTTCCATATGTGTATGTATCTGTTTCAGGGTTCTTTATTATTTCATATGTCTATATTTTCATCCCTGTTCTTATACTCACATTGTCTTAATTACTATAGCTTTACAATAAATCATGAAATCTGGTAGAGCAAGTCCATCTACCTTGTTTCTCTTCTGGCTATTCTTGGCCCTTTGTTCTTTCATATAAACTTTAAAATTATTTTTATCAAATTCTACCAAAAACTCCTGTTGAAATTTTCTCACATTAAATTTGATCAGTAGAGAAACTGATATATCTATAGTATCATTCAACCTAGGCATGAACACAATAGTTCTCTCTCGTTTGTATAGATCTACTTTGGCTTTCAATAAAATTTTTTAATTTCCTCCATGAAGTTTGGCATTTTCTTTGCTATAGATAGGTAGGATATAGATAGATTCCTAGGAACCTCATATTTTGCTGTCATTGTTATAACTGGGGTTTCTAGAATTACTTTTTTATCATTAATGTAGAAAAATGCAATTGACTTTAGTATTGTACATTTTGTGAACCTGCTAAACACTCCTTATTTTTATAATTTATCGTAGACTCTTTTGAGTTTTCTATGAAGATTATTATATCACAATGATACTTTTGATTTTTCTTTTCCTATCTTTTCATCTTTCATTTTTTCTCCTTATCTTATTGCACTGACTAGGCTTTCCAGTATAGTGCTGAATAGAAGTTATGATAGCAGACTTTCTACTCTTATTTATGGTTTTAAAAGAAATGTTTCTTTTAAATTTAACTGTTGCTATGATGTTAACTATAAGTTTTCTGTAGATACTCTATCATGTTAAGGTCATTTTTTTCTACTACTTGTTTGCTAAGTGCTTTTTTATCATGATTAGAAGCTGAATTTAATATGTTTCTGCATCTATTGTTATGAACATCTATCTTTTCTAATCTGTGAATGCAGAAAACTATATACATTATTCTAATATTAACACAACCTTGCATTCCCAGAATAAGGCCACTAACCCAGGACTTTTCATTCGAAGATTTGGAAGAAGTTGAAGAGTTGGAAGAAGTCAGATGATACCAGAATAGAAACTATCTACTTTAAACTGTACAGTGCTAGTCCCACTTGTTTACCTGAAAACCTTGTCTCTCCCATAGCATTGTTCCTGACTCATCTATGCCGTCTCTTAGCTCTTACTTACTATTGATGATGTTCATTTGATACTTTGCATGTGCTATTCTATACATGTCTTACCTATCACCTAGAATACAAGTCCCTCAAAGAACAGCAACTGATAAGCACACAATAAATACTTGCTTAAAATGTTTAAAATATCTTTGTGGATGTGATAGTAAAACATGAGCTGGACAATTACGTAGCATCCTTAGAAAATGAGGCTTCTGGAAATATAAGTTTTCCAGAGAGCTGTTGTTTTAATCTCCTAACACTCACTAAAACTTTAAAATCATTCTAAATTGTACTCCACACTTCCCTGCTTTGTTAACAGACTACGCTGACCATGACTTATTGAATTTTTTGAAGAATATTAATTAAGGAATTAAGGATAATTTAACTTTTTCTTGCTGAGGACAGTCAATTATTAGGAATATCAGTTACAGTGTTGTGCTTGAGATATAGCTGTGGATACATAATGTGTGGGACGCAGAACCTCAGCAGTGTCCCTGAACAAGTCCTTAACAGGGAGAGAGAAAAAAAAAGACAGGCGTTTTTCCAATTTGGCATTGATTGCTAGTTAACTCTCAGGCAGCGATTCATACTTTTTTTCCACCTTTCTCCTATTCTCCCCACCTGCTTTTGCAGCAAAATTACATAAGGCAGAACTGTAGGACTGTGAAAAGTTACCATTTTAACCATGAAAAGTTACCATTTTCCTAGATTATAGCCTATTAGCTTGCTTTTTGGTTGCAGACTCTCTTTGTCTCTAAACCTACTGACTTCATCACTACTTCTAATCTCTAGAGGGGACACAGCATATAGTGTAGCTAAGGAACTAGACTCTGCATCCAGGATATCTAGGTTCAAATCCCAGTTTGGCACTAATAGGTGAAAACCCTAATGACAAGTTATTTAACCTCATCATTCCTCAGTTTCCTCATCCATATCATGAGAATAAACATACATCTACCTCACAGGATTGTTATGAGAATTAAAAGAGTTAATATTACAAAGTGCTTAGAACTTGGCCTAGCCTAGCACACAGAAAGCATTACATGGGTATTAGCAAATAGATGGATAAAATAGTATCAGCTTGAACTTCACCGCTGTCTTATCTCCCTGTCTCTTAAAACTGCTTCATTAATTTTCATTTTGGGTTGTGGCTGTACTGGTGGTGGTGGTCTTCTTTTGGGGGAGAAGGAGTGGTGCAGACATTACCAAGGCATAGCAGCGTGCCTTCCCACTGCCCAGTGCCTCTACTAGACAGGGAGGAAAAGAAGGAGGGGAGGATTAGGTATGTTCATCACTACTCTATTAGCCATGCGAAGGTGAAGAAAATGGGGCTGTTTATTTAATCAGTGTAACAGGAATCTAGGGGCATGTGTGACTGCTGTTTTCAAATATTTTCAGGGCTGGGCTGGAGAAGAGGTGGCATTTAAAAATCTGTGGAACAGGGCCGGGTGTGGTGGCTCACGCCTGTAATCCTAGCACTTTGGGAGGCCGAGGCGGGCGGATTGCTCAAGGTCAGGAGTTCGAAACCAGCCTGAGCGAGACCCTGTCTCTACCAAAAATAGAAATAAATTAATTGACCAACTAAAAATATATATACAAAAAATTAGCCGGGCATGGTGGCGCATGCCTGTAGTCCCAGCTACTCGGGAGGCTGAGGCAGTAGGCTCGCTGAGCCCCGGAGATTGAGGTTGCTGTGAGCTAGGCTGACGCCACGGCACTCACTCTAGCCTGGGCAACAAAGTGAGAATCTGTCTCAAAAAAAAAAAAAAAAAAAAAAAAATCTGTGGAACAGCTACAGGCGTCCCAACACTGAACATGTTTAAGCAGGGTATTGGTGGCCAGGTGTCAAGGATGCTATGAGAAAGAATTTTTTAATTTAGAGTCAGACAACCTCCAAGATTCCTTCTACTTCTAAAATCATGGTAATCCTAGTATGAGTCATTAAGACATACAACCTAGGCGTGAGTCACACATCGCCAACGCGCTCCTCAAGGCACAGAATTCTTCACTCCCCACAGTGCCTGTTACCTCACTACAGATCAAGGTGAGGAATTCTAGCCCTCAGGCTGCATATAACTCAGCTCAAAGTAACAAAAACTTTTCTGAAGTTAAGCGCCTCGGTTCGCCGATTAGCAAATACAATAGGGCATACATCCCAAATGGGACTTGGCAAAAAAGGTGCGTATCCGGATCAACTACCAGACAGTCCTTCACGTCACTCTTCTGAGGAACCGGACAAAAGCAGACTGAAGAGAGCAGCAGGTTACGGGGCAGGGGCAGGGTGGCCGGGAGAAATGAGAGCTAGGCGAGCTGACACATGGGCAGGGGAAAGGAACAAAGGCCTTGGGGACAGCACCCCGGGCTAGGAAGCCAGTAGGAATGCCCCGGCCAGAGGGGCCAGCGGTCCGGGCTCTGGACGAGGGATGCGAACGGGTGGCAGCAGCGGCAACCAGGAGAGCCCTAAGTGCCCCGGGTGGCCCCGCGGGGGACCTCTCAGCCTCACGGAGCTGGGCTCGGCTGTCCGCCCGCAGGGGTGGCCTCGCCCCGCCCGGGGCCACCGAAGCCGTCGCGCCGAGGCGGGTCCTGGGGGCACAGGCCCCGGCAGCGCATCTGCCCGGCTCCCCCGGCTCGACCCCGCCCCCACGCCCGCAGCCTTCCCCGCTGCTCAGCCCACGCAGCCTCGCCGCCAGATTTCGGATCGTCCAGTCTCTCGCCGCCTCAGTCGAGGCCCCTCACCGAGCCCCAGACAGGCGGTCGGACAAGCGACGCCGCACTGCCGGCGCCCAATGTGGGGCAGCGGCTGCCTCCCGGTCGTGCGAGCGGCCGCCGCCATCGCGGGCCGCGGCGGGAGGGCGACGAGGGGCCGCGCCGGACGCCGCTTTACCTGAGAAACCAGCGGCAGCAGCGTCTGTTCCACCGAGCGAGTTTTGATCTCTAGTCCCGAGTCGAAGGCGAAGCCCGACGGTCCGGAGCCATATACAGCTCCGGCGCCGCCAACGCCGGCAGGGCCGGGACAAGCGGCCATGGTGCTCGGCGCGTCCCGCAGCCCGCACTCCGCGCCACAGCCAGCCCGCCGCCCGTCAGCCAGCCCGCCCGCCGGGGCGGCAGCAGCGGAGCACCCGCGCCGCCTGAGGCCCCGCCCACCCAAGCCTCTGTCCCGCCCCCGCGCTCCACTCTAGGGCCCGCTCTGAGGCCCCGCCCACTAACCAGGTCCCTCCCACCCAAGGCCCCGCCTCCTCCGAACCTATTCCCTGCCCCGCCCCTCTCTCTCCAGAGTGTGCTTTTGGGTGGGATCCAAGCACTTCGCGCCTGGCTGGCAAGGAGAAACAAAACACCTGCGGGCCTCCTGTGGCCACTTGGCTTCTTACCTTGACGAGGACGACCGTTCCCAGTAAAGCTTCCCGTCCTCCCGATAGGTGACTCGTCCTAAATCAATTCTGAAATCCCGCAAGGATTTCTGGAAGCTGCGCTGAGGTTGAAACTGGTAGAGCAGAACCAGAGTCGTCTGCGGGCCGGGACCTTTACCCTGGGACTGGTAATCCTCTTTCTGGGGCTTCTCCAGAAGTTCCCATTTCCCCTCCACCCTCATTTTTGGATCATATATTTCTCACACTTTCAGTGGGGTTGAAGGTGAAATATTTGGAAATGCAGTCACTTAAAGAGCATCTGGGCACTCGAGAAGAAGACAGTGTATGTTTCAGGATACTGTTTAGCCTGTTTACTGTTTTGATTCTTCAAAAGGAAATTAAATACAACATGAAAGGTTTCCTCTACTTTTCAACACTATTACTTTTTAAAACCAAAATGACTTTTTCCCTAGTGCCAGGCACAGAGAAGTTTCTTAACTGTTCAGAGCATGAAAAGATAATTAGTGGGTATTTCTGACTGGATTCACTTAAGAAGGCGGATAAGAATCAATCTGTAAGCACAACTCTGAGCTTACAGAGCCCCAGGATAGCAGGCAAATCGGGACACTCTTTACTTACCCTAAGCCTTGGGGTCACTTGCAGCCTTCTGGATCCTTGAGTGCAGCCTTTTCATTGAATCCAAACTTTACAGTACAAATCCTTTTAATAAAGGTAATTGTTCTGTGAAGTTTGGGTACCTTTATTAAAAGGATTTGTTCTGTGAAGTTTGGATTTGACCAAGGGCCCGCAATTGGGGATCTGGAGGGCCAGATGTGGCCTTGAGGCCGCAGGTTCCCCACCCCTGCCCTAAGGTTTCCAGGAGCAAAGCCAAAAGGTGTCTGAAGGATGCACTCTGTGAAGGAGTTCTACGTTTAAGCAATAGACTGAGAAGCATGAAGAAATGCTTTGTGAACTACCATATCTGCCAATGAGAACCTATCAGTAGAAAAAGAATTTCAGGCTGGCTAGTCCACCCTTACACCTGGGCCTGGATCATTTCTCCTTCCATAATGTCATATTGATCAGCAGGATACCATCCAAGTGGGGTGGCAGAAAGCTCTTTCCCGAGCACTGCTGAAATGTGCTGTCCAGTGCTTCCACTTGTCAGTTCAGCTTCCTCTACCAGTGCTGGACAGGTGTCTTTGACATTGTAAATAGCCAAGCTTAGGTGGCTTTTGTCCATTCAAGAAGTGCAGGTCCTTAATCCAACTTTCTTTTCTTCCAATTCTTACTCCTGAGCCACCCACCTCACCACTTCCTTACCTACAACAAGGCCACCTTCCTCAGTGCGATTAGGGGACTTCACCCTCTTCGCCCAGCATCCACTCCCCCGACACACCTTCCATCTTTGAAGGTGACTGTATTTCATAAAAATCCAGTGTTAGCACTGGTGCCAAAGGAAAAGGCAAGATATAAAACTTAAGAGAGAGATGTATGTATTCATGAAAGTTTTGCTTCTATTAATATAAAGATCAAGTTTCTCAACAGATAGGAGACTCTTTACCACATGATTCATCCAACACTAGCAATTTTATTTCAAAATATAAATATTTTACATTTACAAAGAAGATACATCAGAATGTCAAAGCAAGTTAAAGCTAAGAAACAGCATTTGTGTGAGAATATTTATTGTTATATTTGAATATTCTTTTTTACTGTCAAACCAGATCTCTCCTTTGCCTGGGAATGCAAAGATGATATATTTTCAAAGAATTACATAAACAACAATTACAACTATATATCCAATTTGGTTCAAAATCAAATGGCATTTGAAATACACTTCAGTTACCTAAATAAGTGGCACTGCAAAGAACAAAGAAGGGTTTTCTTTGAGATAGGTACAATAATAGTTACACTTTCTGGGTCACCGCAATAAAAAAGAAATGGTATTTAATAAGCCAAAATGGTGTTACTTTAGGATTTGTTTTCATACTTTTCATTGTAAAACATAAAGCTGGAAGAAAAGTAAGAAAGTGGAGGAAAGAACTGTGGACTTGGAGTCAGAATTTCTGCAATTGAGTTCTGGCTCCATTGTTTCGTGTATAAACTTAGGGGGAAATCACAAAAAAACCTTTCAGAGCCTCCAGTGCCTCATCTGTACAATGAGGATAATACTGCCTGTCTCACAGGGTGTTACTAAAGGTGTCTGAAAACTATAAAGTGCCATACAAAAGCATTATTAAAGTGTAATATCAATATATAACCACTGTATTTGCACATTAATTGATCCTTGAAAAACTAGCAAAATTAAACACAAATACTGATTGTACACACCATAGGTGGAAAAGAATCTCTATACCTTAAGTATAGCTCTGAATGGCAAATATACTTTCTTTCTGGTATCTCCCTAAATTTCAGGACTTATTACACATTACATGGTACCCCAGTAAGAGTTGCCATTCCGTATTTCCATTAGGGATGTCTTCTAAAAAAGTAGTACACTTGATTGAGAGCCATGTTTCCCAAAGGACCTGTGGATGCTCGGAGAAATGGAAGCAGGTGTGTGCAGTATAAGGTCAAACAGTCTTTGTCTCCTCTTACAATTTCACAATGTATAACGGCATGCTAAAAACTCTTAGAAGTCCTATGGAAAGAAAATAAACTCAGCATTCCTCAATTTTAATTGATCATGGAATCCCCTCCCCCATGCATACTTTTTTTCTCTTACAACATCTATTAACATCTCTTGGAACCACTGCTGTAAGGAACACATTTTGCCAAAAGCTGCTCAACTTTGAGTAAAAGGGAAGAGAAGTAGAACTATGGACAGAGAAAAAAGAAGTATTTTACTCTGAATTGTTACTAACTGGCTGTGTTTCAGACAAGACACTTTAACTTACGAATTTGTTTTATTCTCTAGAAAATGACAGTATCACCTAATTATATATGGCCCATTCTAGCACAGAATGAGACTTTAGTACATAGCACATCTTGATTTATAATTCTATTTTTAAATAATCAAAACATGACTGCTCAGTGGCTTCAGATATCATGTGTATTTTTTTGGACATTCTCAATAATCAGGAAGTTAATAAAACAAATATAGTTTGATGGCAAAATGTGTAAAGATATGATAAAAATAAAAAGTATTTGCTTTTAGCTGGAACATTTGGAGTTATGTTACCTAAGGCTATTTCCACCCTCAAAGACCTACTATAAGTCTCTTGTAAGGGTGTTGGCGGGCCCCTCAAAGCAGACAGCAAGATCAAGGCCTGAGTATGAGAAGCCCTGAGGGCTTTTTCCTATAAACACTGAGATTTGAAAGCTCTGGATAGCTCACCTAAATTACTTTGCCCTCATCTAACTTCTCATGGCCTGACACATTCCTGAGGCACTAACATAACCAAAATGGGAAGTAGAGGTACTAGGACAGGTCACAATGTGTTCACTTAGTGGCCCTTTAACTGGAATAAGCAGCTACATTCCCAAAGCCTACACAGTTTGTTTAAATACAGGGTCTCCATGTCACACGCCTTGGTTATCTTCTCACTGTCCAAGTCAACCCACACTAGACTCGGAAGTCAAGGAAAAGTTCGGCCAGCTAACCATCTCTCATCAAAGAGTGTTGGGAACCCCTGCAATTTTTAACAATCACTAAGACTGGTATCTGAGGCAGTCTGACAGAGACCACTTCCGGGAACAGAAAGTAATAGGAATTTTGGAACTCAAGCGGGGCTCATAATGACATGGAATCTATGCTCAAGATCCCATGCCACCTACTCTCTCAAAACAAAAGGAGTTTATCTGTGTGGAAAACTTTTATCTTCTTTCCTCCCTCCGCCCATTCAGTTTACAAATGAAGAGTGAATGTAAACTTGAAACTAATCTTTATTTATTTATTTTAGAGACAGAGTCTTGCTCTATCACCCAGGCTGGAGTGCAGTGGTGTGATCATAGCTCCCTGCAGCCTCAAACTCCTGGGCTAAAGCAATCCTCCCACATCAGCCTCCCAAGTAGCGGGGACTTCAGGTGTGTGCCATCACACCTAATTTTTCTATTTTTTGTAGAGATGGAGTCTATGTTGCACAGGCTGGTCTTAATCATTAGTAAATCTATAAAATGCAAGGTATTATGACAGATTTCTATAGTCGGTTTTTATTAAGACTACTTCTACTTTACCCATGCATTATTTGTTCCAAGAGAAACTTCCTCTTTCTGGATCAAATTCTGACTGAGATTCTAAGGGTAGCTTATCTTTGAGACTTCAACTTAAAATTCCTGCCTTTTCATACCACTTCATCTCTACCCCCTGTGAAGAATTCTGTAAAACCTCTTCACTGTATCTGAGGAAGCATGGTGATTCTCTCTGGTTCTGCGAGTTCCAAGAAGACCTCCCCTAACTGGAAGATCTTCCTAGTTCTTATGCTATTGCTGTAGCAATGGAGCGGTTTAAGTTTCCTGATCAGGACTGGGTAGCACTCTGGGGCACCTCTGCTCCTGGTATTTCAGAGTGATATTATATCACCTGCTAATTTTGGTAGCTCTAAGCTATTCTCCTACAGATCAGAGTTCCCCTCTAAGAACATGATATTCATACTAATAACTATGTCAGCAACAGCTAAATATTAGCTCGTTTAGTGTTTTGTGATGTCACTTTATATAGCTAAAAGCACTTTGTACATATACACCAAATCACTGTGTATAACATTTGCCTCTTTTGAGTATGTGCTAATGACAGCTATAAATTTACCAGCATAAATTAACAAAAACAAATCTGATTTCTTTTTAACCTTTTAATGCAAATATTTTAATTTAGTATGACACATGATCTGGCTAAGATTTAAGGAGCAGCCTTCTTATGAGTTATCTCCAGCACCCTGTACAGTCCCTTACATGGAGCCTACAGTTTAGCAAACTCTCAAGAAATGTTTTATTGAATGAATGAAAAACTGAATAATTGATTAAACAGGAGAATGAATTACTTACTGACCAAATCTAAAGCTTGGTGGAATAGCAGATTATAATCGTTGAAGGAGTCATAATAGAAATGAGATCTGCATGTAGTCTACCACATAAAAAATAGTCCAAAAACCTCATGGTAGCCTTTTCTAGATGGGGCTTTTCTTTAGTACAAGAATAAATTTAAGCTACTTATCATTAACTTCTTAGTGAAAAAATGTTTTAGAAGAAATTATGTCTACCTTTAAATATTTATGAACCTTTTTATCCTCCATATTCCCACAGGAGCCAAAGGAAGGGCCTATTGATTGTTTTAAACAGTAGAAAGGGCACAGCTAAGAGCTGGGTTCCAGTCCCGGCCATGTCATGAACTGCAGGACAAATCTTCATTCACAAAAAATGGAGAGCAACATCTATTCTACCTTACAGCATTGTGAAAACTGCTCCAGAGGTTAGAAGAAATACTCTATAGTACAGCAGAGTTGACTGACTATGGAGCCAAAGATCTGAGGCCAAATTTTACTAAACTTTATGACTTCGAGTTGGTCACTTTTCTAAGCCTTAGCTTCTCTACTGGTGTGAAACCACTATAAAATTACATAAAGCTATATGAAAGCTCATGGAAAGTGGCTGTGAAATAATATGTGCAAAAGGACTTTGTAAAATGTAAAGCACTAAGCTTTTCATTGTGATATCTGCGATACTTAAAAGTTGCAATTCAGTTCAACAGGCATTCATCGAGAGTCATTTGTGCAAGGCACTGTGCTAAATGATATAAAAAAACACTATATAAATATAAAATTCTACTAATAATTGGCAGAGTTCCAAATAATGAAACAGGGATATATTTAACAAATCAAAGTATTGCTACACCTGAGATTTTTCACTTAAAACATTTGGAAAGAAAAAACTTAATGATAGCATGAATTCTATCATATTTTTACCATTCATAGCAGCTTAATTAAGTATTTTACTTCAATGTGGTCAGGCAAGTTTTAGAATTTCGGCAATAGTATAATGGGCATGGAGAGAGAAGGAAGGGGAAGAGCTTCGGTCTTTGTGTCTCCTATAGTTTCAACCTACAACTGAACATCAAATAAGCCACCCCACCCTTACACTTAAGATTTATTCTTTCTTAAAGAGGGGACGATACATTGTGCAAGAGGGATAGAGATTGATTTTTCCTGCTCACGCAACTACACATTCAAAGTGAAAGCCATCTTTGCTGAAAAGTGACTGTCTTAGAAAAGTTTAAGAATAGATTTCTTAAAGTAAGAGAAAATTACACTGTATATTCTTTGACAGCAGGTAGTTTAGAGTTCTTAAAATAACTTTATAAATACACATTATAATAATAGATATAACCAAAGTGGGAAATTTTTAAGCCATGGTACCAGTGTATAAACTGAAATGTTTCAAGCCATCTTAGCAACAGTTAAGTGAGCAAACCACATTTCTGAACTCTCAAGCAGTGTTTTAAAATGCAAAGCAGCCCACAGTAAGTTCTCTCTTGTCCAGGAATTGTGTATATAAGGCCAGGAGGCTTCTGCTTCTTTCCTGGGCTCTACTTGCTAGGCACAGCTGACAGGGCAGGAAGCCACAGCTGAGTTGAACTCACTTTTGTCAAAGTTGAAATTCCTAGAAAAATCATTGCAGTGGAAACCATGTCAGTCTACAGAAGATTTCAGATCTTCAGAAATGTCACGAAAAGTCCTAAGAAAGGAAAAGATGGAATAATTAGTTAATTACCATACAACAGTATCTTATTTTTATAATTTTTAAGGACCTGGAGATTATATAGTTACTATTTTTTCCTAATATTTTTCACTGAGTATTGTTTCAAAGTCTGCTAGTTGTCAATCCTTAGTAACAAGAACTCCAGTTTTTTGCTGGATCTATCGTCTCCCATCCAAAAGACGATTTCTCCAGACTCCCTACATATGACCATGTGGACTAAGTTTTGGCTAATGAGAAGTAAGTGTAAGTGTTATACAACTTGTGGGCAGTTCCTTAAAAGAGAAGGGCAAGTCTTCAGCTCTTCCATATTCTCACTGGATAGAAAGTGGATATGATTTTTTTTTAGACACAGTCTCACTCTGTGGCCTGGGCTAGAGTGCCATGGTGTTAGCCTACCTCACAGCAACCTCAAACTCATGGGCTCAAGCAATCCTTCTGCCTCAGCCTCCCGAGTAGCTGGGACTACAGGTATGCACCACCATGCCCTGCTAATATTTTTTTCTATATATTTTTAGTTGTCAAGCTAAGTTCCTTCTATTTTTATTAGTAGAGATAGGGTCTCGCTCTTGTTCAGGCTGGTCTCAAACTCTTGAGCTCTAACCTGCCTGCCTCGGCCTCCCAGAGTGCTAGGATTACAGGTGTGAACAACTGCGCACGGCCTAAAAAACTGGTTATGATGTTAAAGAGAAAAAAAAAAAACAACACTAAGAGACCAAAGATTAAATGCTAAGTGTATACATTTTATTACAAAATGGGAAGTTTGATCCAACAAAGAGTCTAAGCTCTGAGAGATGTGGTTCAGGGCAGGAGAAATGGAGTAGGTCTTTTCATCAAGTCGTACTGTTTTTGATCCACATCTGACAAGCTTAGTGAATGTTGCTAATTGGTAGGTAATATCTGGGCTGGATGGAGGTGGTCTGCTGCATACATGAGGTGCTTATCTCGGGACTATAGTAGCTAGCTTGCCTTTGCTACATTAGTCACATGCCTGAGCTAAGTCACCCGTCAGGTTTATACCTGTGTTGGCATTCAAATGGCCAGGTCAGAATTTTTCAATGAACACAAGCTTAAGCACCCATCTTAGACAGAAAGATCTCACACCAAGGCTGGAAGTACATCAGGTGGAGGGAGGCTGAGCCCATTTGTTTGTGGAATAGTCACATGAGCCCTGCCTTGCCTACTTATAAACTTCTTTTACCCAAACAAGAAATACACTTATAGCTCATTTAAGTCATGGTTACTTTGCATACTATTGCTGGTGGGGGCTTTTGTTTGTTTGTTTTTTGGTTATATGTAGCCTAACCTATCTTAAATGATGCAGATATAAAGCATAGTTTATTACCATCCTTTTAGACAGAAGTGATATTACTCCTTCACAATACTATAAATTAGAAATATAGAAAAATATGACTTTACAACGCTTACATTTTTTCAAAACAATTTCAACATCTTCCAGTTATATTAATTTGTACTCATGTCACTGGATTGTGTTGTTCCTCCTTAGATTTTTTATTGCAGTCAAATAAAGCTAATTTTATTTTCATACCAATCACCAACTATTTGTTATTATAAACAAATGACTCAACTTTTTCATTAGAAATGGAGCTAAAATAGAATATAAAGTCTTCCAAAACTTCACGGGACATCTGGCAGTTGTAGAAATAAAACATGGGCAAAAAGCTTTCAATAGAATCACCTAAAAACTCATAAAGCAAATAATCTGAACCTCAATGCAATTCCACAATCATGCCACTTCCCTTATTCCTTTTGTTTTCTTGGTTTTCAGTTCATGCAAATATTTAGGAGGCTGAGATAAATTAAAGACTAACCTTTTAGCATTACGTAAAAAATACTTCAGTGTCAAGAGCAGGGGTCCTCAAACTTGTTAAACAGAGGGCCAGTTCACTGTCCCTCAAACCATTGGAGGGCCGGACTATAGTTTAAACAAAACTATGAACAAATTCCTATGCACACTGCACATATCTTATTTTGAAGTAAAAACACAAATGGGCAAAAACACCTGCATGTGGTCCACAGGCCGTAGTTTGAGGACGCCTGGTCAAGACGGATACTGGTAAAACAGTCCAGAAAAGAGATTACATTCAAGGTGCTCAGTTACGTCAAGGCTCTTTCAAGGATGGTGTCCTAAGCCTCCCTCTATCTAGCGCAACTTTACTTTCAAAGAAACAACTTTGAAAAATAGGTAATCTTCCTGGTGTGGCCCCTGAGGCTTTGAAACAGTTTATATGTGTCATGACTAAACTCACCATTTTGAAAGATGCTGACAGATCTAAGAATTGGAATGAATTTTGTTTCCTTAAATATTTTCATGTTCTGAAAAAAATGTCCAAAAACAAAAGATATATACACATGTATGTTTATATGCATTAATATCAATCTACCTATCTACATCAAATCAGTGTGTCAATCATGGCACTATTGACATTTTTATTATAAGGTGTTTAGCAGCATCCCTGGCCTCTATCCATCTAAGACAATCAAAATGTCTCCAGACATGGCCAAATGTCTGAAAAGAAAAAAAAATCAGCCCTCACCCCACCAGAACCATTGCTCTGTGTATCTATTTTTCACAGTCTCACCCAAGTTTTTATTTTTACATTTATGTACAGGCAAAGTTGGCTATAACCCATCTCAGAATATGAATTTTAGGTAGCATTAAATTTGGGAAAGGCCTAAAGAATCTGCAGCCAAAAGCTGGCCAATGGTACACAGCACTTTCCAACATCCAATAGGTTTCTTAATTTATCCTCTAACATCTTCTTAAATTTCTAAGACATCTGCAAGTTTGAATCTATAACTATTCATTTCCTCTAAAGTATGAATGAAAATTTCTGCCTGAGGGCAAAGATGCAGGAAGTAAGATTTAGACTGTGGTTCGCCTCCTGAGTGACTGCATTCTGTTGACAAGTGAGCTTAGCTATAACCTTGAAATTCATACCTATTATTCAATTCTGCCTCTAGGCCAAGAAAGCCTCCAAAAGCGCTCAGGAGAAAGAAAACAAACTGAAATAAGCTTAGAAAACAGTTAATAGAGGACTATTAACATTATATACCTCCTTTCAGAGCAATGGGGATTGTGCAGTGTAGTCTCTTACTGACTTGCCCCTGGAAAATGTTTCAGGATCTGCTTTCCCCAAAGTTTCAAGGAGTTATTTACAAATTCATTTTTATCCCCCAACCCCTATCTCCATATAAATGTTTCAATCTTTTCTGAGTTTAACAACTCAAGGCTTATTGACTGCAACCCTCCAGAGACATAGAATAAATTCTGGATGTCTAAAAAATAAAAAGTTTTAACTGACCATTTAACTTACTTAGTTCCACAGAGTTGAGTATTTCCTACACCTACACCAGCACACAGGAACAAACCCTCATGACCCACCATTATTATGCATATCCCTTCCCTCCCAATAAATTTGGAATAAAGTTCTATGACAGGGATTTACTATGTCACATTCTCTCATGAGTCTCAAAGTTATATTGCAAAAGTCCTTTTCAATTGATCTGCTTTTGGTTGCACTAACCTACTAATCATCAAATTTTCACTGAGCATTTTCTTTGTGCCAAATGCTGTGTTAGGAATGATAAAACAGCAGTAAACAGTAAGATGTAGTTCCTATCTTCAGAACGCTCACCAACTAGTGGGAGAGAAAATGAATTAAACATACATTTGTGAACTATATACTAAGTTCCAACAGGAGAAGTGCAAGATGCTACAGGGAAACACAGCAAGGACTTCTTACCTCGCTAAGAGTGCTTCAGTAACGCTTTCCAGGAGGAGTACTCTGTGTACAGACCATGATACTGGACTTGGCTAGGAAGGGGTGGGAAGGTGGTATTCTTTGAAGAATGGACAAAATGTGCAAAAATTACACTGACTTCAGCAACTAAAACAAGTGGAATATGGCTGGAAAATAAAATGTATAGCAGGCAACACAGAGATGAATCTGGAGAAGTAGACAGAAAGAAGGCATGAAAACTCTGATGGCCTAAATTAAGGTCTCAACTTTGAAGGCCATGGGAAGACTCTGTGGAAACGTTGAGCGGCAAAGGAACACAGCATTACTGCTCCAGAAAAACCAGAGAAGCTGTACTATGGCGAACAGACTGGAGAGAAGCAAGGCTCAGCAGCAGAGACAAGGGAAGAAGCTGCTGAAGAAATCCTAGCAATGAGTCATACGACTGGGAACAGAGAGGATAAACAGATTGAGAAAACAGAATTTCTAAGTCAATAAACTTCCCAACTCCCTTCCCTCCCAACTCCAATTCACTCTTTTTTTCCTCATGATTCTAAATTTGAATGACAGGGCATGCACTCCAACTGACATTCTTAAGGTTAGCATAAAGGTTTGCAGGGGTGAGGATGTTCTTTTAAGAAGTTCTTTGTACCTCATTTTGCAAAGACAAAAAAAAAATAACTTCTTGCTCTATAAAGTGGGATATGTTACACCTTAGTTTACTTACCAAATAACTTCTTTTATAAAAAAGTACTTACTTTTGATTGAGCTCTGGGTATTTAATTATGAAAGATATAAGCAAGTCAGGTTAAGATAACACTTCCAAAAAACAGCAATGAATTACTAACAACTCTTCCATAGAGAAAGATAAAGCTGAGTTCCTAAAAGACCACATTCCAGTTGTCACCTTCGATACTGCCAAGGTGTGACTCAGGGCAAAGGAAAACTTTAATATAGAGAATAGCATCCCTGGAAGAGTTCCTGGCATATGTTTCTAACTCCTTACAGGTCTTCCTGAGCTTTAATATTCAGAGATTGCTGCTCAATTTTTGGTAGGAGTGAAATAAGTATATCAAATAAAATCTGAGGCCAGGCATGGTGGCTCACACCTGTAATCCTAGCACTTTGGAAGGCCCAGGCAGGAGGACTGCTGGAGGTCAGGAGTTCTACACCAACTTGAGCAAGAGCGAGATCCTCATCTCTACTAAAAATACAAAA